CTTGAACGAAAACTGAAACGTAATCCAGAATTATGTGAGAAGTACACCGAGGTCATAAACGAATATCTTGCGCTCGGACATATGACCCAGGTAGAAACTTTCGAAGCGCCAGGTTTTTACTTACCCCATCACGCGGTCGAGAAACCCTCCAGCACGACTACAAAGGTTCGAGTAGTATTCGACGGTTCCGCCAAAACGAGTAGCAACCTTTCTTTAAACGACGTACTAATGAGAGGTCCCACTATCCAAGATGATTTGTTTTCACTGCTTCTGCGTTTTCGCATGTATGCATACGTCATGACGGGAGATATCGAGAAGATGTACAGACAATTCTTCGTTCGACCAGAGGATCGCGCTTATCAACGCATTTTATGGAGAGACGCCCATGGACGTATAGCTACGTATGAGCTAAATACCGTTACGTTCGGACTCGCATCTGCTCCGTACCTCGCCATAAGGTGCGTTCATCAACTCGCGGACGATGAACAATCCAATTTTCCGATTGCGGCGACAATCGTCAAACGAGATTTATACGTCGATGATCTCCTTACCGGGGCCGATAACTTTAAAGAAGCGCAACGAATACAAACGCAAGTTTGTCAATTGTTCTGTAAAGGAGGATTGAATATTCGACAGTGGGCTTCAAACGAAACCGCTCTCCTCAGGGGTCTCAGTGAAGATCAGATACATCCGAAGATCTTAGGTGAAACTGCCACGATGAAAACGTTAGGTATTTCCTGGGACGCACGACGCGACACAATTCAATACACTGTAGAATTACCAACAAATAGTAAGATCAGCAAACGCACAATTCTCTCAACAATTGCAAAGATTTTCGATCCTTTGGGTTTATTAGGACCAGTTACTATTTTGGCTAAAACATTGATGCAACGTCTTTGGCAATTAAAAATAGATTGGGACGAGTCTTTGCCTGCCAGCATCCACACAGAATGGGTCACGTACGCCAATCAATTGCAAAAACTTAGCGACATGATGTTTCAACGGTACACAGCTTCAAGGAAATACCAAAGAATTGAACTTCACGGATTCTGCGACTCTAGCGAACGAGCTTACGGAGCCTGTTTATACATCCGCACGATAGATAGTTTTGGTCATATCAAAATACATCTCCTTTGTGCGAAATCTCGGGTCGCGCCTTTGAAGACAACAACTATCGCTCGTTTGGAATTGTGCGGAGCTGTACTTTTGGCTTCACTTTATTCCACAGTTCAAAAGGCCATCGTCCACGACATTCACGAAACATATCTGTGGACCGATTCGACCATTGTCCTCAATTGGATTAACAAACAACCTAGTCTGTTGAAAACATTCGTCGCCAATCGTGTGGCTGACATACAGGGAAAGACTGATCTAACGACCTGGCGCCATATCAAATCAAAAGACAACCCAGCTGATCTTATCTCCCGAGGTTTAATGCCTACACAGTTCCTTCACAACCCATTGTGGCTTCACGGTCCAGAATGGTTGACTAAGGCGGCAGTAAAATGGCCCGAATCGACGTTTCAAGGCTCTAATGATTTACCGGAAATGAAAAAGATGACCTGTCTTGTCACATCAGTCGTGCAGTCGGACGAACTATTTAATCGGTACTCCTGCCTACAAAGGCTGATTCGTATCGTAGCATATTGTTTGCGATTTCGTTTAAATGGTCGCGGCACGGGTCATTTAACTATCGAGGAGCTTCGACAGGCGCGTCATAAAATTATCAAGTTGGTGCAATTAGCCGCATTCGCCCCGGACATTAAAAATCTCGAAGCAGGAAATCTCCATTCAAAGAGCAAACTTCGCCCGCTCCATCCTTTCCTTGACCATGAAGGAATTCTTCGCGTTGGAGGAAGATTACAAAATTCCACATTACCGTTCGCACAGAAACATCCCATTCTTTTGCCTAAAGGGAACCACGTGACGGATCTGATCGTTCGCGAGGCCCACGTCCAAACCCTTCATGCTGGCGTAACGACAACCCTCTATACCGTAAGACAAAGATATTGGCCCATCGATGGAAAAAATACAACTCGTAAAATTATCCGTCAATGCATCCGGTGTTTTCGGGTAAACCCACCTGCAGTAGAGTACCTNAGTTTCGGTTCTCTACGTATTTTCAACTTTATTTTCTACTTTGAACAGTCAGAATATTTGTATCCCATAAGAAACCGTGTAAAATGAGCAAATTTCAAAAGCGTTTTTCTCCAATATAATGTGGACGAAAAATTCGAAAAAATTATTTTGGTTTTGTTATGCAATAAGCAAACATATTCTTAAATTTCATGCTGATCTCTACGTTTTTATAAAACCCCTGAACCTCCTTAAAGACGAACGATTAAGTTTATCTCTAATTCTTTTCCCATTTTTTATAACTTTAGCTACTGTTTGAGCATGTTTCTCGACTTCGACGCGTTTGTTTCCTGACTCTCCGAGATTTGTTGCGGGGAGTTGGTAGCATCGTTTTCGGCTAAGCGGTTCAGTTCGTTTTGAGAAAAATTCGAGATCGGCTGTCATCGTTTCGGACATCGATTGAGATTTCGAACTGCGAAAGATGAGAGCCTTTGCCAAACGATTCGGGCAAGGATCGAGATCATAAAGTGCCATTCGTTTCGGGCACTGATCAAGATCCTAAGGCGATCATCTTAGCTAAACGTTCAACCAAAGATTAACATCATCGAGGTGCCAATCGTTTCGGGCACCGATCGACATCCAGTATTATTCGTATTCTGTCAATTGCATCGAGCATTTGGAATAAGTGAAGTTTAAATTAATTTTTAACTTCACGCACGAACTTGGACGAATGACGCACGAAGTTCGTTCAAGACGAAACAGCTACTCTGTAATTTACAAAGTTGTTAGTTATTTCATTGAATATGCTGCATCTATTCAGTGAGCATAACAAACGACTAATTGTTTTGTTTTCTGTAATATTTAAACAATTTCTTAGTTGCTCTTGCATGTAACTTTTGTTTTAATCCTACATTTCGTCACGAGCGTGGCAAATACGGCCGTGGCAACACACGAGGCGGTTATCGCGCTCCTGCCCACCTTGTATACGAGCGCTCTGATTCGTCCCGGTTTTTTGTTAATAACTCGTCAACCGCGCCTTGGACAACTTTTTTGCACAGGAAAAAGTTATTTAAAATCACCTCAGCTCCTCCCCATTTGAAGGCCTAACACTAGTCCTGGGACACCCTGTATATCATTTTCCTCCAAATCAAATTATAAAATAAAAAATTATAGCGTCTTTACTTTGTGTTATTAGAAATGCATACAATCTGCAGCCCAATAATAATAATTTTCAGTGTTGAAACAAAAATAAGGTGGAGAGTGGAGAGCGGTATATTATCAAAAATATAAAATATGCCTATTTAGTCTGTTGTTTTGGAGAAGTTAGGAAGGTCAAAGTCTTTAATCCTTAATCATACTTTCAGTGTTGAAACAAAGATAGGATTAAGAGTAACGTATCACCTCCAAAAATATAAATAGAATTTACAATTCTTATCAGATGCAACAGTTTTATAGATATTTACGTACAAATGATAAGTATCAATTAACTCGGAGATGAAGTACAATAGAGGAAATAAACACGTGGTGAATTCTGCGATATCATCGTCACGCGGCCACGATAGCTTTTACGTACTTGGCTGTAATAACGAGCTACTTCCATGCACGTTTGTCTTCTGCAATTATTTGAAACAAAACAGAAACATAACACATATATTTAAATTAATTGACTGATAATGAAAAACACTTTGATAGATGCACGGTATTGAATGTGTTTATTTATAATGAAAACCGTACAATCCTGTTTCGAGAATTATAAATTGAATGAAATCCTCATACGATATAGGCATTTTAATTTATTAACTTTATTAATTAGACGATTAAACTTACAGCATAGCAAAGTTAAATACGTGGAACAAAGATTAGAATGATTGTTTCATTTATTATAATAAATATTGACATAATTGCATTACAATTTTTATTGTTGTTTCATCTTCTAGCAAAATATAGTCCGGGAAAAAAGATAGCTCATCTTACATTTTTCATAGTTTTGTATTAAGCCCTTCCGGTAAAATTACGAGTCTAGCTCGTCATTGGTTTTATTATTAAATCGTACCGGAAGGGGTTAACAATTCATTGAAATATATATTTTATGTTATTACTTGTCTTGGGCATGCTGAGGTCGGAAAATCTTGCTGACCAGTCTAAAATTTGAACCTTCTTTAAAACAAAGAAGTATGATTTCACTATCTTTGCGGTATGAACTGCAGCGTTGTCATGCTAGAAAATGAATTTATCTCTAGCAATTCTTATGGCGTATGCGTTTATTTGCTTGTCAATCATTTCCAAATACTTCGTGCTAGTCAATTTTCCATTAACAAAGATCATGTCCATTTTCTCGTGATAACCTATACCGGACTAAATTATAACACCGCCACCTCCCATTTGTCGATGGCTCAGAATTTGTTGTTCCTTCCTCTTAGATTATGATAATAATATAACAAATTTAACGAAAAGAGATTTAATTTGGATGGACCTGATGGCCTGAATTATTATTACGTCAGTTATAAGGAAATATTTACATTGATGTTGAAATGGAGGAAGAAGGGTTTTACAGTTTTAGGATGAATGTACAGAAATGTTTACCTCAGGTACATATATACATATATGAAATTTTACAGCCAAAATACTGACAGTTTGTGTTGTTGTTTTTTTTTTGGGAGGAATCTAGTTCTCACACAATCGACTGCTGGGAGGGTGTGTCGATTTACAACTGCAAATATGGCATACCCACTGAATAATTCAACACCGCTCCCAAAAGTATTTCAAAATTCACACGGTTGATCCTATGAAAATTTCAAAGTTTCACGTTACATAGGAAGGGAGCAATATTACCTTTTATGGAAACGTGTTCTCGTTTGCACCGTTACTTATCTTTAAGCTATCTTCGTGTGTACCTTATTTTAAACAATAATCAGTTTAATCGTGTTTATTAAAATTTCATGTATTCCCAAATGATTTAAGTATAAATTGTAATTTGCAACATTGTGAACATGCAGGAATGTAAGATGAGAGAATGCGGTTAAACTAAAAATAGTGTTTATTGAAAGGTAAATAACTATCACTGTGCAACAACGTAAAAAAAATCATGGGTGGCTTTGTAACCATAAAAAACTATTTATAAATCTAAAAATGAGATACATGTCTACAACATTCTGCGATGTTCTTAATATTTTATATAATTGAAAACAGATTCCGTATATTTGATAGACGAAACAAAAACTTGTTAGAAGACGATTAAGCTCTTAGTTAAAGGAATAAATACTGAACGTTTGACCGGAAGTTCACGCAAGTTTTACGACGAAAAAAATGTTCGTACAAGACTTTTGGAGCCTGTTCCTGTTCCGGTTACGGAGACATGTGGAACGGTGCGTCGAACAAAATTTAACGGGCTTAAAATTCAGGTTAGAGCGTAAGTGAATTTCCCGAGAGACAGCGGGTAAGGTTGTTAGTCCGCGGCGACATATATGGAAATGACGAAGTTTTTCCGCGCGACGCGGAGTGCCTCCATTTGAAAGGCATATCCTCCACATAGAGGCGAAAGAATAATTTCGCACAGCATCCCGCCGCCGCCGCCGCCGCCTTGTGTCGCCGAACTTTATTTAACCAGATATATGAACGACAACGGAGATGTATGCGCCTATGCACTCCAAACAGGCTTTCACTCGCGTACTTGCGCTTACTTCCATTCCACATAGGCACCTATCTCGTCCGCGTTCATAAGTCATAAGAATACTTTCAAATGCTTCCCACAACATTTGATGTACAGTAACTACCATTAATATTCGGACACATTTCAAAACGAAAACTCTGTTAACATTGGCAGAAACAACTTGATTTTCTTTGGGATGTTAAAAGGCTTATATTACTACATAGTATGTAAATGAAATCTGTACATACATTCAAAATTATTGAAAACAAATTATACGTGTTCTAAATATAGTGTATTCTCTGATTTTCCTGCGTAGCTATTCTCGTTTACTCGTTTAATATGCGGATGGAATTTGGTGATGCAACAGTTTTGTTATATTCTGCTTGACTTACAATTAGCGTCGTTACAGGAGATCCTTCGCGTAGCTCGGTCTAGCACTGACTCTTTAACTTCCACAATGCGTAACTTCAAGGAAAAAGGAAAAGAAGGAAGCTGGAAGAGAGAAGAAGAAAAAGATAGTTTAAGAAAGGAAAGGGGAAGCGAAAGTGAACGGAAAAATAAGGAAAGACAGACAAAGAATTATAAAAACAAGGGTGACCAGAGAAGGCCTGAAGCTGGAAAAACTCAATGGTCAAAAACTCCTGCTCTCGACCATCAAATATCTCAAGTGGGAAATGTTAGAAAAATAAAGTGAGAAAATAGAAAAGTAAGAAATAAAGAAAACAGAAATCCATTTCAATAAAGTGGCACAAACGACTTACCCAATTAAAAGTTATAAACGACGATACAAGAAAACAGTCGCGATTATAATGATGCGGTTCATCAGCGAAGACAAAGTTCGTTGAACGTTTCATTGCAGAGACCGGAGATAAAACACATATCTGTTAACTTCGCATTCATTATAATTACACCATTTTGATACGGAATAGAATTATTCGGTAGTAGTTGTAGTTGCAATAGAACTGGATGTGAGAACTTTTGTTTCACTTCAGGCAACACGAAAATAGAAAATACTCCTAATTAAAAAGTAAATACTGTTGATCAATACCTAAGCTATTAGATCTAGAAAGATTAGATCTAGTTAAATGCGAATTATGTAATCTCATCAACAGGATGATTAATTACTATTAGATATCTAATTTTATACATTTGTAGAAAAACTGTATTTGAAAATATAAGTGCGTGAATTTGTAAATTCACATTTCATGTCAAATTTTTTAACAAGATAAAACTTCGTTATTTATCAAATGATTGACGCATAAAATGCAAAATTGGCTGAAATATTCCATTCAAGTAACTCACGCGCTGATGTTTTATAGCTAAGTCCGTGTTAGGTACACATAGTGCAATTACGCAGATAAGTACAGTAAACAGCTTCGAACTAGGAAAAGAGATAAGATAATATAATTCCCTCGTAAGAACGTTACTGTTACGTCGCAAATAAGCTGTTCGCTTGACTTGCTAATATAGAGTTAAACGACACTACTGTTATCACGCACCGCGTTATTCTTAATTCAAATTACGTTGGAGCTCCGAGGAGCGAGATGCTGTCCCGAGCGCTCTTAATCTCGAACTATATCCGATTCCTCTCGATTCCTCGTGACGACTGACTAAAAGCTATGCATTGCTAGGCCGAGAACACCCGTGCGAGAGGGGATAATGTTTAAACAAAATACTCGCCATGTAGGGCGAAGGAAAAATTCTTAAGTGGTTTACGACCCGCACGTGTTTATACGAAGACCGATACGAGAAGACATTGCTAGACAAAGACCCTGCCTTGACTCGCATTTCGAAGCGTAGTGCTATTCACGGTGGTCTACGGACCGAACCACTTGAAACGAAAAAGAATTTCCGGATAGCGGTCAAATTGTTTATTCCGCGGTTAAACATACTCCCCCCGTTGGGGGAGGCCTTAACAGTTACTTTTTTATAATAGTTTACAAATAGTTCTTTATCAGTATGAGCATTTCTTACATAAACAGGAAATTATTGTTTATTGATATCGATATTTATTGTATGCAATGTTTAGGAAGGCACTTTTATGACGTGTTATCACAAGTTTGCGATGACACGCGCTATGTATACAAACGAAACAACTTATCTATGCAAAACTCATTCTAACATAATCATAATTTACACTGTGCTTTACAGGGAATACAAATCACAATAATTGTTTAAATAGTGATTAGCAAAATACAATATTGTAAAGTGTTTTATAGAAAAATATTTTACATGAAAATACATCAGCACATTTTGTAAGTAATATTTCTCGATGAGAAAGTAAAAAACATTATATTATATTCACATATTAATTTCAATAAATCACATATACGTACATCCATTCTCAAAAGTAAATAATACAAATTAACTAAAGCAGATGATCAAGACAACCGAATTCCTTCAACGTCAGCAGCATGTTCGCTAAAATCTTCGAAACTTCATCTCCTCCAGCTTGGCATAACATCGTAACAACATCCTCAACGCTTATATTTAGTAAATCTTCCGGGTTAATCAATAATTTGTTCATCACTACGACCAGAAAGAACGAGGCAATAAAAAACCCAAACAGTCCCTTCTTCTTGTAATCCTCATAGAAAGCTTCGTACGAATACTTTTCACAATCGACACCAGCCTCTTTTAAACATTGTGTCAAAGAGTCATGGTACACTTTTAAGATATTGTTCAGCATAGCTTGATCAAAGTCTTTCGCGCAATGCAAACACAACAATGTAGAAATGTCTATTGCAGGCGAGCTGTATCTAATTGTTGCAAAATCAATTAGCAATGTCTTTATTTCTCCATTTTCCCTTTTAAACATCATATTGTTCATAGTGAAATCACCGTGACATAGCGTTGCCAGTGGTTCTTCAGGTTGAAGTTGTTCCTCGATCACCGTCTTATATACGTTTTCAAATAAAACGTCCATCTTATCACAGAATCGTTGATCATAACTTTGATCCCGAAGATACTCCACAGCTCGGCCAGCTGTTCCTTGTATAACAATAGTAACATCCCCGTGCTCATGGAATCTATCCTCCCTGATATTGTTTATGATATCAAAGAATTCTTCCTTACGCTGTTCCTTCATCGCGTACGCGTTCGCGTGGAATCGTGCGAGTTCCTTGCACGCAGCAATGGCGTATTCCATAGGAATATCTTGTTTCACCCGTTGGAGATGGTAGCCGTACCGGGTTATCACGTTCTCTAAAACAATCACAGAGTCCACCGGCGGCTTCTCGTCGGCATAAATGCAACGGGAAAAGTCTGTTCTATCTGTTGCGTATTTCTTATAAAATAAAATCTCATTGTGAAACTGTTGATCGCTGTTTAGCATTTTTCTAACAGCCTCCACCAAGGATGGCCTCTTCACTACTAAATTTACTTTCTTCTCTTCTTTGCTGTTATTGGCGATGATTTCCACGAGTATTAATCTCGACAGGAAGTGCGAATCAGTGGGAACGGATATTTTGTATTGCACGTCGGTGAAATCCTCGCCCAGTTTAGGTGAAATCTTCTGAATCAGGGGGTCCAGCCACGAACGATACTCCTCCACTTGCTCGGCCATGATCGCATCACCAATGAATAGAGCGACTGAATTGTCCCGAGTGTAGTTGGAGCTGTCTCGATCGCCGACGCGGCGAACACTGTGCTGCTGAGTGTGCAGAGAACTGACAGTCGACTGTTCTGTACGATATCGATAACACTCGGTCTGCGACGGTGACGGCACGAGACGGAACGGTAGCTGGGTGGGAGGCGTTAGGCCTTCAAATTGCGGTACACTCCCATTTATAAATCTTAGCGGAGCGAAATCAGATATAAGAACCACATCCTTAAAATGATAAGAGGTTCTAATTTTTTATCATCGATTATAGATAATACTATATTTCACGATTTCAATTAGAGAGGATTACAATTGTACAATATTTTTAATTTGAATCCCTAAAGAATAATACTTATGTGTTTCCTAGTCAGTAAATACGTGTTCAAGTAATATCATTAATTATAAATCTTAAACAGATTTATGAATAGTTTATCAATATTTTTCTCTTGTGATTTCCACTTTTATTTTTCTCGTGGTACCTTATTAAAAATTATTTTCTGAAAATTTATGAACAGAAGTATACAGTAAATTTGCTACGATGATCAGGTTAAAGACATAATAGTGAGAGAATGATATAGTATTACGTACGTAGAATAGTGCAATAATAGCAAGAGTAGACTGTGATATAATGATTGTTCCCATATGTTTCAACATCGGTTAATCTAGCTAAAGTGCTTAGTCACTCCTTAAAGTATTGTACGCTTGATAACAATGATTAGTAATCACTGTTTGCTCACTACTGTGTTCAATATGTTTTATTTAGAGATTTAAGAAAAATCTCAAAATTATCGTTGACAGAATCGATCTTAATTGCTATGATAATGATACTGTGCAAACATTGTGCAATGTTGCGTTAGTTGTCCTGTTTTTTATCTTCGAATTAGCCATCGAATTAACTCTTTCGTGATTTTTTTGCAGGACATATGTACATATATACGTATTTGTTCCAACCAAATCAGAGATGAATTCTGGAGAGTAATTTTTGAAATCTTAATTAAAGTTGTAAGAAGCATAAAGTCTGCACTATCAATTCTACTTTTGGAAGGTAGAAACAGCAGAACAATTAAAGGTTTTTATTTATCTTCAGAAATTCATTCCATTGAAAATTAAGTATTCACTTTTACAACAGTGCCTAACTAACTTGCTTGAAAGACCAACTTCGACTGAATATTTTAACCTGCAGGGAACGCAGCAGGGCAACCTAATTCGTTTGTTTATATTTTTAAATTGTGCTTATTATCTGTTAGTAATGGACACCCAGGGAACCTCCAATAATGAGTTTAAGTACCAAAGTAAAAGTTGATTTTTTAATTTTTGTCCCATGACAACGAACTGTGCACTGCCGCGGTTTCATGAAATGGTGTCATTAGATTTACTTATTTCATGTTTGTTCTAATATTAATTTTAATTTCTATTAATTTTTCGTGAGTTGAGTTGTACGCTCTTAATAGTAACACGCGCGAACTGTTGAAACGTAATTGCCAACAATTTAAATTAATTGTCATTGAACACACAACTCTTGAAACGATTGCATAACAAAACGCGTTTAGTCTCGCTAGTGAAAATGAGTTCGTTTTTACTTTTCTTATATTTTATAGAAGTTTCATAGTTAAATTCATAGTTTTTTTCCTTTACAATTTTCTGTTAGTTCACTACGTTCTATACTATCATTCAAAACAAAAATATTATTCCTCCTCGACCGGCTGAAGGATTTGTTTTGAAGTAAGATCAGTGTTACAGTCATGTTTATCTTGTATTCACGAAGGCACAATGAGTTCGACGAAAGGAAAGACATTGAAAGCCGATCTCAGCAAATGGAACCGAAAAGGGGAGTCGTGAAACCAGTGGGCAGAGGAGGCCAGAAAGAAAAAAAAGGATGACAGTCCCAAGCAAGCGTAAGTGAGCCGCGATCCAGAAAGGCAAGCAGCGAAAAATCGTCTCCTTGGCTCGCGAGACGAAATTAACTGAATGCGCACGAGTAGACCCTTGCGATGGAAATTCTCGTCAGAGTGAACGCGGGATGATGATGGAATGTTTAGGCTACGCTTAAGGCATGTTCATTTGTAATACTTCGTGCAAATTGTTATCCATTCCGTTCTCGTAAAGCAGATCCAAATCGGAAATACGTGTTGATGATTGCTTCTGCTTTATAACAATTATATTTGTTATATTCTTTTTAACGCTTACATATAATGCATACACTTTTTTAGTATAATATATTGTTGTATAAGGTAATGGGAGAATGCTGGAAAGAAGTTGACAGAAACGAACAATAGAAAGGGTCAAATCGAAATGGGAAGAAGTAAGAGCTAGATATTACAATCAGAAAGAAATATATGGGGAAGAATTAGAACAATGGAAAAGAAAAGAGAACGGTTTAAATATCCAAATACAAGAGCATTACAAAAGAGTAAGAGACAACAGATACAACCCAAGATATAAAACAATTAAAGAAGAACAGAGGCCGGAATACTTAAAAAGAGAACACACAGGGTGGCGAAGATGTGGGAATGACGAAATAGGGAGGAGGAGGAAGAAATAAATATATAAAACATGTGTCGCATATGTCTAAGCGAGCCGAAAACGCTGGAACATATAGCGTATAATGTTGTAGGAGTAACGGCAAGGATAGAAATATCGATAAGAATTTGAGAGAAAAAGAGGAGGGAGCGAAGTGGATGCGAAAGATATACCAACTAAGGAAGAATGCAACAGAAAAGGAGAAAACCGACACGTAAACCAACGACAAGCATAGATATCATATATTACAACATTATATAGAGACAGTTATCGTATTTTATCAATGTGACATCCCTTTCAAGGCCATGAAATAAACGATTACTACTATCACTACATTGTTCTATTCCAACGATATCTTGTATTTAAGTTGTAGATTCCCTATCTTCTATTTTCTATACCGAAAACTCATCCTAAAACGTAATTGCCAACAATTTAAATTAATTGTCATTGAACACACAACTCTTGAAACGATTGCATAACAAAACGCGTTTAGTCTCGCTAGTGAAAATGAGTTCGTTTTTACTTTTCTTATATTTTATAGAAGTTTCATAGTTAAATTCATAGTTTTTTTCCTTTACAATTTTCTGTTAGTTCACTACGTTCTATACTATCATTCAAAACAAAAATATTATTCCTCCTCGACCGGCTGAAGGATTTGTTTTGAAGTAAGATCAGTGTTACAGTCATGTTTATCTTGTATTCACGAAGGCACAATGAGTTCGACGAAAGGAAAGACATTGAAAGCCGATCTCAGCAAATGGAACCGAAAAGGGGAGTCGTGAAACCAGTGGGCAGAGGAGGCCAGAAAGAAAAAAAAGGATGACAGTCCCAAGCAAGCGTAAGTGAGCCGCGATCCAGAAAGGCAAGCAGCGAAAAATCGTCTCCTTGGCTCGCGAGACGAAATTAACTGAATGCGCACGAGTAGACCCTTGCGATGGAAATTCTCGTCAGAGTGAACGCGGGATGATGATGGAATGTTTAGGCTACGCTTAAGGCATGTTCATTTGTAATACTTCGTGCAAATTGTTATCCATTCCGTTCTCGTAAAGCAGATCCAAATCGGAAATACGTGTTGATGATTGCTTCTGCTTTATAACAATTATATTTGTTATATTCTTTTTAACGCTTACATATAATGCATACACTTTTTTAGTATAATATATTGTTGTATAAGGTAATGGGAGAATGCTGGAAAGAAGTTGACAGAAACGAACAATAGAAAGGGTCAAATCGAAATGGGAAGAAGTAAGAGCTAGATATTACAATCAGAAAGAAATATATGGGGAAGAATTAGAACAATGGAAAAGAAAAGAGAACGGTTTAAATATCCAAATACAAGAGCATTACAAAAGAGTAAGAGACAACAGATACAACCCAAGATATAAAACAATTAAAGAAGAACAGAGGCCGGAATACTTAAAAAGAGAACACACAGGGTGGCGAAGATGTGGGAATGACGAAATAGGGAGGAGGAGGAAGAAATAAATATATAAAACATGTGTCGCATATGTCTAAGCGAGCCGAAAACGCTGGAACATATAGCGTATAATGTTGTAGGAGTAACGGCAAGGATAGAAATATCGATAAGAATTTGAGAGAAAAAGAGGAGGGAGCGAAGTGGATGCGAAAGATATACCAACTAAGGAAGAATGCAACAGAAAAGGAGAAAACCGACACGTAAACCAACGACAAGCATAGATATCATATATTACAACATTATATAGAGACAGTTATCGTATTTTATCAATGTGACATCCCTTTCAAGGCCATGAAATAAACGATTACTACTATCACTACATTGTTCTATTCCAACGATATCTTGTATTTAAGTTGTAGATTCCCTATCTTCTATTTTCTATACCGAAAACTCATCCTATGATTTCACTTCTTTACTCATACCTGTTTAAACTTTGTCCTATCTTCGAACTTACATTTTTGAATCCTGTCCTCGCTACATCATCCTTAAATTCTAATTCACTTAAACCTGGAACCTACAATTAGCCCGCTTTCCCTCAATTCAATGCATTTTGTTCCAGAACTCTTACGTGACAACTCACTCGGAATAAAAGTGTAGTCTTCTAAAACTAGCATTACTGCATGAGTTGTACTATTCTTAATAAAGAATAAGTTAACAGAATGCAACAATATATCTAAGCACAATTTAAATTTCTTTCATATATACAATGCAATATATTGTGATTCATGCAATTTTTTACTATGAATTCAGTAAAGTAAATCTCATAACAAATAATAAATCATTTATTGTATTGCTGCTCTCATAGTTTGACACATCAAATTTTCGTACATCATATGACTTGTTCTAAGTATCAATGACATTTGCAAATTCGTTAAGTAATCTACAGAAGCAAGGCATGATATTTTGTACAAAGATAGATAGTAATTCCTTTTAGAGTTGGGTCAAAGGTTGACGTCTGCAATATGGGATTCGCTGCGTTACTGAAATTCAAACGCGAAATTAACTTGTTTACTGTCGACTCCAGCAGACTTTACATGCAGTTATTAACAATGTTCTGTTAGCGGATTATAACTTTCTGATGTAAGTACAACGTTCAT